GTGCGGCTCGGCGCTCCGTGCAGAATCCCTTCGCGGTGGGGCGTGGCCGCGCGCTCCCGGAGTCCCCGCGTGCTCCGAGGGGACGGCGCCCGCCGCGACCCTGCCGGCGGCGTCCCGGCACTCCACCCTCGTCTCTCTCGGCCGAGGGTCGCGCGGGGCGTGGGCGCCTCGAACCGGACAGGCGGGGTGGAGTCGCTTTCCGGCTGGGCGTGCGTCGGGACCTCGCGGTCCTCCTGGGCCTGGGCGCGCCGCGGGTCCGCTCTGGGCATCGGCGCAGCTTACGGCGAAGCGAGGGAACGCGAGACTCGCGCCCCTGGACGTTGTCCGAGGAAAGCCACGTTCCACGTCTTCGCGTGGCCTGGAGGCCGCCTCCTGCGGGCCCTGCGCAGTGCACTTGGGAGTGATCTTGCAGAGGACGACGTTAGCGACTCGGTTCACGGATTCAGTTTCGGCGGCTGCTTGACCGCGATGCCGAGCCGGTGCTCCCCGGGACGTCCCTGAGGACCGCGAGCCCCGTTAGTGCAGAGCAGCTGCAGCCGGCCCCTCGTCGGTCCCCCGCGGAAGAGCGGGCTGCTCCCCACTCTGAAGGGCCCCTGCGAATCACCGCCGGGTGGTATGAGTGCCTGTGCGTGCTTCACCTGTTCTGCCACCTGTCCCATCTGTTCGTGACAAGTAGCTTCAGGATGAGTCAACAGGAAGCAAGTTTAGGGTGGCACCCATTGTGGATACCATCAGTGTGAAGTTACTGCATATGTGGATCTTTAATTTCTAAAATGCTTCTATTTGGAGGATGTTTTCCTTTGTTAAAGTAGACTCTTAAAGGTAATATTTATTGCAAAAAGTCTCATTGTGGGAAATACGTAGAAGATAAACAAAATAAAGATAACCACGAAAGTACAGTTTTGATGTACATGCTTAGAAATATCTATGTACACACACACGCTTAAGGGAGAGAAAATATTGTTCAGTAATCTGTTCTACACTTTGTGAGCATCGTTACCTTTCAGTGTTCGTTTCTTCATTTTGACATGTTGAATTTGAATGCATTTATTCATACCTAGGGTGGTTACAAACAATGATACAGTAATCCAGAGGAATCCCTTGCAGCCATCAATTTTGTTACCAGTCCCACTTAATAGACATATGGGCGGTTTTATATTTTTTAGTTTCACTGTGTCCACATCCTTGATGCCTAGTTACCCTTATGGCCGAGGGGGGTGTAGGTTCCAAGATGCCAGTAGATGTCTGAAGCTGCAGATAGTACCGAATTCTTTACGTACACTGTACTGTGTTTCTTCCCATATATACGTGTCTTCGATCAAGTTTAATTTGTAAACTAGGCACAGTAGGAAATTAACAACATAGCTAATAATAAAATAGAATAACTTTAACAATATAATATAATAAAACTTATGTGAATGTTGTTTCTCAGAATATTGTATTATACTAACCTGTCTTGTGATGAAGAAGGGACGGTGTGGGACAGCATGAGATTTCATCACACTACTCAGAACGGTCTGCAATTTAATATTTATGAATTCTGTATTTCTGGAATTTTCCATTTAATGTTTTTTGGACTCTGGATAACTGAAGCTTTGGAAAGCGAAACCGTGGATAAGGGGGACTATTGTAAATATCTTTTCATATTTTTTTTGTCATTTCCTTGGTGTAAACTCCTAGAGTTTTGCAGAGCCAAAAGGCAGACATGTTTCACATTTTCATTCTGCCAAACTGCCTTCCAGAGAAGCACACATTTAAAAGTTACCAATTCCTCATAGTCTCGACGTTATTTTAATCTTTTTAGAATGCTAAGGCAAAAAAAATCTTACCCTTGCTTTAGTTTCAAGATTGCTATTGAAAATAAATAAATAAATAAAATTGCTATTGAGACTTAACAATTTTTCATATATTGTCATTTTCATTTTTGAGAATTACGTACTTTATATGCTTTGTCTCTTCTGTCAAGATTATTTACAGGGTTTTAAAAAGTGTAGGAATTTATGTGATAGCAATTTTCTGTTAAAAGCTAGGAGAGCTTATGAAAGTCAGATTTAGAGACCTCTAGGCCTTAAAAATGATGTTTGTGAAAAATTTAGGCAAATGCTTGTAAGTGAAAAAAAAAACAGGGAAAATGTATATGCATTTGTTTACAACTACATTAAACTATGCACAGGAAAACTCCTGAAATGAAATTACCAAATGAATTTGAATATGCACAGTCGGTAGTTTATGAGTGAACCCTACCCCTTTGCACGTCTTTTCCCAAAATTTTACCCTAGTGAAAGTCAGCTTGGACCATGTTTTCCTGACAAGTCAAATTCAAGTGGTAATAAATGTTGGCGTTTTCTAGGGCTAATCGTAATGTTCTCTGGAGTGTTCATTGTTGATGTTTGAGACTAAACATTCCTGATACCAGTTCTGGGAGTCCTTTATGTTTTGGGGGAATGCCAAATAACTTCGTTATTTCCATAGAGCCTCCTGTTCTTTGTACCATATGGATTAAGGTTTCCCCTCAGAACCAATTAATTTTTTTTTTTTTTTTTTTTTAAATTTCAAGCTGTCTCCTAGATGTTAAGGCATATGTTGATTTTGGGAAGCTGTATTTTTAATTACAGCGACTCAAAACAAGTTTTTAAAAAAGACTTTTCTAAATTACTGAACTGAATTCTGTCAGTTTTTCAGTCATAGCTTACCTGGGCATCTTGATCTTTGAAAGATAAGCTTAGAGGCTGCAAAAGTATCTGGTAGAAAACAAGGTTAAAGAGTGGATCCAGTGGGTGTGCCAGGTGTTTTCCCAGAGCCATCTGACTTCATCCTCACACTTAATATGGGTTAGGAGAGAACACCCAAGGTGAGAGCCAGGGCTTGTGAGTTGCAGCAATGATGGAGACCCGAGGGACTCTGGTCGTGATGGGTGAGTAACACACCCGAGACTCAGGGTGGAAAAAAACAGGAGCTGAAGAAGGGACCAGGGTGTAGAAGAAATACAGTAGAGTCCTCGGAGGTCCTGCAGTTCCTCAATTTGTGGGGGGTTCTCAAACAACAGTGTCATAGCTAGAGCCCATGTGTCCCAGGCCACACTGTTGGGTCAAGGTGTTTGCACCTCCCCTCCCAGAATAGACCAAGCCTGGGAGCACCAGACTGTGCCTTGTGGAGGCGTGAGCCCCTCCCTGGTCTTAAACCACATTACCAGAAATGAACTGTCCTTTGCAGGGGCAGTTGGCTATGCCCTGCAGTCCCTTTGGCTGCATATTTAATATATTGATTCTAGATATGCGCAAAGAAAGTAAACTGGAAACCATTTGGGAAGGGAAGGGATTTCAAATAATGTTCTTAAGATTGGCTGTGGATGCTAAGGACCTGCCTGCCAGGGGAGCACATCTGCATTTGTTGGCTTTAAGAGATGGTGCATTTGTTTTGGAGGAAGGTAGGTTTCTGTTTAAATGTGAACATTGAGACAAAACTGGGTAAACCAAGCATAGTAACAGCTTCAGCAGTCAAAAAGTTGTTGCTTGTGTTCATGATCACTTTCTCTAGGCTTCTTTTGTGGATGAGAAAACAGGTGGAGCCCAGAGCAGGAAGATAGTTCAGCAGGTTCACACATGGTTAGCAATAGCACATTGCTGCTCACAACAGATTAGTGTTCAAGCTGGTCAGTGTTGCTAGGCCATTCGAAGCACCAGATACTGAGGGCCTATTCTGTGTTAGTACTGTGTAGGAGGTGGTGACACCTTGGGAGGAGACATTGGGGAGGCCACCACAGCCCTGGGAGAAGCCAGTGTCAAGGAAAAGAGCGAGGCAGTGTGGGGGCAGGCCTGGAGGAGGTGATGTTGAAACAGCTGCTGAATGGGAGTTAAATGGTAATGGAACGTTTATCACCAGGTGGGGGGTGAGCATTTATTTTGTGATTGGCACAACATGATCTGACGGTTAGAAGCCTCTTGGTTTCATTCTTGACATCACAGAAAGCTAAAAAGAAAAGAAATCAGAGGAAACATGGAAAAGTGTTTAGGGTTCAAATATTGGTAGTGATGACATACATTTTGTTGGGATGTTAACATTTCAGAAGAATATTGTACCTTCTCATGCTTGCATTTAGGTGATGATAGCCTGTGAAGCAGTTGATTTGGGTTCTGTAAACATGAGGTCATCATGTAGCAAGAAGTCAGGCTGATGAGCAGTGGGTCTGATTTTACCTCTGGTAAAGGTGCTCCCTACATAGAGCTGGGGCATGCTTTCACAAGGTTGGCAGTGGGTCTGGGATTTCAGTCTTGGTCAAAATCTTTTTTAGGCTGGCCAGTTGCTCACTTGGTTGGAGTGCAGTGTTACAACACCAAGGTCAAGGGTTTGGATCCCAGTACCTGCTGGGTACAAAAAATAAACAACAACATTCAATTATTGACCCACAGAACAGAACATTAGAAAATAGAAAAAATGCCATAACCCATGTTGTTAATTTGGATGTTTCCTTATGATCCTTTTTGGTGTTAATTTTTACGTCATTACTTTCTCTTCAGTTGCTGGGATGATAATGAAACTATTCTGTTTCCCAAAATTTAACATTTTCTATGATAGCTTTTTTACGATAGACTTTTGATAAATAAATACTTGTCTGGAAGATTAGATTACAAAATAGTTGGCCTTTCAGACAAAGCCTCTTGGTTGTGAGGAGTGTTTTTATAGCATCCACTGCTTTTATGTAAGAAACAAGCTGTCACAGCACAAGATGGGCTGTTATGTCACTTGCATCAGCTTAGAAGAAACAGCACTTCTGTTACTAATTAGCCTTTTTGCCACTTGTGAGCATTTTGTTGGGGGGGAAACAAACTGTATTTTATTTTATTTTTAAGTACGCTTGCTTAAAGGTAACAATTCAGGAAGTTGGGGAGAGGAGGGCAGCCAGCCTGCAGACAGTTTCTAATAGGGAGGCTTCCTGCAGCCAGATTCCCCTCCTGGCCTTCTGGGGGCTGAGCAGTCATCCTCTTAGAAGCCTTGTTAAAGATCAGCCAGGCTGAAGATTGGGCCAGCTTGTCTTTGGGATGATCTCCTTTGAGGGAGATAGATTAAAGTGGAGACTGTTCCATCTGGACACCTAATGGTAAGATCTCAAGCACCACTGTGACAAGAGATTAGTAACGAGGTCTGCCTTGATAGTCAGTTCAGGCCTGGGGGCTATTTGGCTGGCCAGTCCTGGGTTTGGCTGTCCCATTGGTGTTGAGGGTAAGACACTGTTATTGGGGGACCCTGCAGCCTGGAGTCTCATGGGAACCCTCTGAGGAGCTTTTGACATGCACACCCTGCCTCCAAACCCTGAAATGCTCTTTGGGGTCCTGTTCAGGGCCTCTGCATAATGGGGACATAATGCATGCTTGTGGTGCCCCTGTTTCTCCTACCTCATTTTAATAAATTCTTTAATTATAGCTAAATTGCCTCAAACGAGTGACCAAAAAGGAATGAGACTAGTTATATAAATATGATTTTTTTTTTAAAGTGACGTAGTATGTCTAAATGAATCTTCCGTACATCCATTTTGGGAAGCCTTTTTCTTTTCCTGTTGTTGCCCAAAGCACTTTTGGTGATCTCTTAGAATGGGCTTCCGCAGGTCGGCCCGTGGCTCACTCGGGAGAGTGCGGTGCTGATAACACCAAGGCCGCGAGTTCAGATCCCTATATAGGGATGGCCGGTTCGCTCACTGGGTGAGCGTGGTGCTGACAACACCAAGCCAAGGGTTAAGATCCCCTTACCGGTCATTAAAAATAAAAATAAAAAAAAGAATGGGCTTCCGGGTGGCTGATGGACTACATAAGAAAAGTAGTCTCAGTCATTTCTTTCTTTTGACCTCAGAAGTTATCTGTCTCGCATACCCAGTTTACTCATTTGTTTTCAAATGACTTCTCTGGTAAAACATCAGAGCTACCACCAAAAGACAGAGGTCTTTGACCTAAAAGCCCGTGAAAACAAAGGTGCTGGCTTTGCAGACAGATCCACATGAGGAGTTGCAGATATTGTTGAGCACCTGTGTTCACGTGGCTGATGTCAGAAAGTGTGACTCCTGGTTAATTCAGACATTCAGCTCACTCGGTCCTAGGAGGTCTAGCCCATGCGCTTGTCAGAGGCCTCCTTCCCTTCTGCTTGGGCAGATCTGGCTTCTTGCTAAGCTTCAGCTTCAAAGTCATTTCCTTGGGGTGATTTTTTTTTTTTTTTAATGGGTTTATGTGTTTTCATTGTGTACATCTTATTCGGAATACGTATTTGTTCTTTTTTATCTCCTACCCCCGCCCTGCCGGCTTAGAGAAGTAGGTCCCTGTCTTGTTTAATCCTGACCCCCAGCACCCACAGTGGGGCCTGCACGTAGCAAATGCTGGTTCATCATGGTTTGGATGTGTGAAGGGATGTGCGAAGGGGCAAAGGGCTGGGATGTAGAAGGATGTGACCAGTGCGAATGACAGAGCTGCGGTTGCTTTACTGACCCCTGGACACTCAAAGGGTAAACCATCCCAGACCAGGTGGAGTGGTCAGCGGGGTCCGGCTACCAGCCTCCAGGGGCTTGCTCACAGAGGGAAAGCAGTGGGCACTTCCGGGTGCCTTGTTTCCATGAATCAAGAGCCTACTCAAAGGAGGCTGGAGGGTTGGCAGAGGTTTTAACACCAGCAAGGGAGGGGCATGCCTGCAGACCAGGGTTTCCTTGTTTCCTCAGTAATGCAGTTTTCACAGTCAGTTAGCTCTGAAGTCGGGATGCAGCATTCACTTAAAGTTAGTGCCTCTTTCCTTTCTTTCGAGTGATTGATAGAGCTGTGGCGTACCTCTCAGAATCAGTGGAGTCTCAGAAGGCTTTGCCTCAGCTTCCTCAGTTTCTTCAGCAATGGGATCTACTTGGCTTACCTCTCTGCACCTTGTAGGTGTCAGGCAGGTGATAGATGCCTGTCAGTGCTGCGTGAGGGGTCATTCCTTTGGCTGTCATGATAACATTGATGGCAGGCTTGTGCTTTGATGGAAAATATTTCTTTTATTGTACATTGTCTCAATTGGTGAAGAAATAGTTTCACGTTTAGGGGGAAAGGGGTTTACTTGCCACCTCAGGAGGGCATGTGTGCTAAAGTGGGCTGCATGTTGTGTGTCTGCGCCTCTGTCACCCTCCTGGTCACAGCCGACAGTTGACTATGTTGCTCTCTAGCCTCACTTTTCATGGAGATCTGTAGTTATGACTGAATATCACAAATTTTACTTTTAGTGTCTTCAGGGTTATTTTTACAGTGTAGGTATATGTAGGCTTTGCTTTTTTAGTCATTAATCTCTACTGTTATGCCCCATTCCTTATCGTGTGTGGTGTTCTGGGGAACCTGGGTATGTTGTTGGGCACATCTAGGGATATGAGGACTGACAGCTTTTATCAGCCTCGGAGGACTCAGGTGAGGTGTTTTACTTCAACTTGATGATTGGGTAGAGCACAGTATTATAAAGAGCAAAGGTCAAGATCCCTTTACCAGTTAGCTGCCTTAAAAAAAAAAACTAGATGAGAACAGCTTTTCTTTTTTTTTTAACTTCTTGTTTTGTTTTGTTTTATTTTGTTGGTAGCTGAGTGGTATGGGGATCCAAACCCTTGACCTTGTTATCAACACTGGGCTGTAACCAGCTGAGCTAACAGGCCAGCCCTCGAGAGTTGCTTTTTTTAAAGTTATTTTTGAAATGTGTGGGTACGTGATTTTTTGGAGGTAATATGTACAGTCGTATAGCGGGATGTTCCTCAAACACTGGCTCTCCTCTGCGTAGATGGACCCCTCTGCTTCTTCCTCTAATAATTCTTGGAGACTTCACTGTGTGGAGTTGTGCAGTGCCCTGCTCCGTGGGTGGACATTCAGATTGTGGTCTCTTGTGGTTTCAAACAGTGCTGCAGGGAATGTCATCTGTGGCTGTCTTGCAGGTGCATGTGTGTTACTCCACAGCACAGGCTTCTAGAAGGGGTGTCTGGGTGAGAGTGTAGACAGTTGGTCTTCACTTGCTAGATGTTGCCACATCATCCCCTGTAGAGGTCACCAGTTCCACTGCCAGCAGCGTCTGATTTTTCCTTGTCATAATACTGTTCCTCATTCATCATTCAATGGCATTTATTATGCTCCTACTGCATGCCATGTGGTATTCTGGTGCTTGGGATACAGCTGTGAGCAAAACAGACCACATCCTCCCTGCATTTGCAGCATTGCAGTGAGAAAGAGCTAACTCATGAACACACGTTTTCAGCTTTCTCAGTATGATAGAGGAAAAGTAGTATCTGCATGCTTTGCATTTCCCTTATGAGACTGGTGTCTTTTTATATGCAGAGGGCCTTTTCTTTTCTGAATTTCACATTTATACTGTTGCCCTTTCTTTTGTGGGTTAGTGATCATTTTACTTACATAGGAGCTCTTATGTGTGTCAGGGTTTGTCAGCCCTGGCACTGTTGTCACTTTTGGCTGAATGACTCTTTGTTGTGGTGGCTGTCTTGTGCATACTGAGGATGTTTAGCAGCATCCCTAGCCTTTAAATGCCGTTAGCATCCTCCAGTTGTGGTGGCCAAAAATGTTTCCAGACATTGCCAGATATCCCCTAGGTTGCAATAAAAACAAATACAGAAAGGTTTTACACAGTAGCACTTTTCTTAGTAGTGGTCACCAGCTATTTCAGCGCTGATCCTGGCCTGTGAGAAGAGTTTAGGTGTTATGGAAACATACATGCTCCCTGAGCCCTGTGTCAGGGAGGTCCCTTCGGATGCAGACATTTTGTGATTTATAAATACTAAGCTAGGGTGAGAAGTCTGATTTATTTAGGACCCCCCCCCCCACACCCAGTGGCTGGACAGTACAGGGATCCGAACCCTTAGTTAGACACTTAGGACTTAAAAATTTGAGGGCTGGCTGGTTAGCTCATTTGGTTAGAGCACAGTCTTATAATACCAAGGTCACACAGGTTTGGAACCCCATACTAGCCAGCCATAAAAAAATAAATAAAATAAATAAAAAGACTTAAAACTTTTACTTTTATTGGTGAACTTAAAAGAACACAAATTCTGTACCAAACTGACTTTTTTGGCAACAGGTTACCTGTTGCTACAGACTTCAAAGTGCAGCTGTCGGTAACGACATAAGAATCTGCTGGTCTCACAGCTTTGATGTCTTGTGTTGAGACAGCCTGTCTTGTGGTGTAAACTGTAGTTCATAGGGGCTGCACTTCACAGCTTAAGCTGTCAGTCTTTCAGCACTTTTTCCCAGTTTATTAGGAAACATTTGGTCAGTTCCTTGTCTTTGACTTGCTAGGTCACAGAGAGTAGCCACAGCTGTTGGAGCCGTCTGTTCTCCACTCACTGCGGTCCTTGTGCAGGCTGGCACCGCCGGGCTTTGGGAAACTGGAGGGACAGTGGTGGAGCTTGGTCAGCCTGGGAAGGGGTTGCTGGAGCATGTGGTCAATCCTTTACAAGTTCCTTGGGAATCCTGTGAATCTGAATCCTACAAAGAAGGCCAGGACATTGGTCAGACATATAAAATGTTCAAAGAAATCTTCTCTAATTCCACATGTCAGTCATTCCTTTTGAGCTTAGGGAGACAGCTTTAAATGGAGCTATAGTGTTTAGCCATAGCCTTGTCACAGTAGATTCCGTTTTAATTGGTTTCACCTAGCTTTTGTGTAACTTGCCGCAGAATTAAAATTTTTTTTAGTAAAATAGGTTATAGTTTTAAGAATGTGTTCTCTGATATTAACAAATAAAATTGTTCAATTTGTTCATTTCCCATTTCCTGTCCCTTATTTTTGGAATTTTGTGTCTTATTTAATCCAACTGTGATTTTTTTTCTCCTTTTGTGTCTTTCAGCAAACGAGGATTCAGTGTCCGGTCCTTTGGAACAGGAACTCATGTGAAGCTTCCAGGACCAGCACCTGACAAGCCAAATGTTTATGATTTCAAAACCACATATGATCAGATGTACAATGATCTTCTTAGGAAAGACAAAGAACTGTATCCCAGTGGGTTGCCCTTTAAAAACCCCAGTGTGGTCATCTCTGGCAGGTGTGATTTGTGACGTATGCATCACTCTGACCTCCACTTGCAGGAAGGCGTTGTGGGGAGTGGGCGCAGGAGGTGTGGCATGCTGAGTCACGGTGCATGCAGGGCAGACACTCACTCCTTTTTACTAAGGGAACTCAGTTTCTACTCTTGGTGCTTTATGGGTGGCCCAAGGATTAGATCTGTTTGTGTCAGAGAGCATGTTAAGCCATACAGACAGAAACGTGAAAACTGTATGATGTAGTTGAGCAAAACTTTCTGACAGAGAGGCTTAGATGAGAAAAGCAGAAACCACAAAGTTCCATTGCTTTCCATGCTGCAGGACTGCGTGGTTATTCCCTTTGCAGGCAGGTGTGCATGAGCACGTGCCCTGACACACGTCAGGCTGCTTACACATCTCTGGTGATTGCTTTTGGAGGGTCAGATAAAGAAGAGGGTAAGTTTCCTACCAAACAGAACATGTTAGACGGAAATAATTTGGGAGAACTTTACTCCATTTAGGAAGAGGCAAACAGACTGGATATGCTACTTAAGACCCACGTGAAAGGAAGAAGCACTTTTTAAAACAGATTTTTATGAATGTGACACCAAGTTGTATAATGGCCATGATAACCAGTGCCCCAGTGCCCGGGCTTTCAACAAGGTTGTTTCATGATCCCCCAGGCTAGTTTAAAATTCCTGGACCTCCTTTTGTTACAGTGAATGATTTGTAGTTCTCAGAAAGGAGCCCATATTCCAAGTGAAAGGAATATAAACACCAGGTCTTCACGTTGGCACTCGCAGTTTTTCCCCCTTTTGAGGCTGGCCAATACGTCCTGCAATTTTTAATAAAATTTTTTTGTGCATATGTAGGTTAATTAGGTAGCTGGGAGGGGCCCAAAGGTCATTCTAGCAAAACGTACAACTAGACCTTGGTGGTCATCACATCTCCTGACCTCCCTGCTATCCTCTCCCCCAGCCATAATTAAAAAGTTGTTGGTGGGGACACAGGTATTTCCTGTATGTAAGCACCTCAGCCTGGCCTGCGGGGTGAGCTGGGAGTGTCTGGGTTCCTGTGGAGCTGGTGCCTGTAAGGCAGTGGTCCTGGGAGCCCTCCAGGCCACAGACCCAGCTCTGGCTACAAGTTAAGAAGATGCCCTCAGGGATCTTAAAGGACATACTCTCCTGCTCCTCCCTTCTCAGAAGCCGTGGAACCTGCGTTTGGAAGCATCTCCCTCAGGGTTTCTGATGAGCTGTCAGCTGTGCTGTGTCCTCGTCTCCTCCGTGTCCTGCACAGCTTGGTCCTGCTCAGCTCACAGCCTCGGGCTGAGAAGGAAGGAGCAGTGTCAGGGAAAGGCTCTTCTCCCTGAAATTCTCCTCGGTGGTGAGAGCTCCCTGCCCCATCATTTCCGTCATCTGTGTCCCTTAGCCTTACAGAGAAGCCTAACCACAAGACCCTTTCTGAGAATCTCTTTTGGGGGCTGGGGGCTTCTCTTAGTCCTGGAAAAAACTGTGGTCTCCACTCCAGGTTTTCATTACTTACGTTAAACTCTGGTGTGCGGTTAAGCTTATCCTGAGACCCCATCTGTTTTTGAAAATTAAACTCTTGTTCTCAGTGAAAGAAATAAAAACAGATAGAAATGTACATACATTCACAGTCCCCTAATTGTTGTAGGCTAAGCTCTTTCATCTCAGAGCCCACTGTGGCCTCCCTGTGTCTGGACATGGGCAGCACTTTTCACATTTTACAAAGACCAAGTCTAGCTTCAGCAACCAAATCCAGAGGGATGTGGCGTAGGGAAACGGTGAGCACGTCTCAGGCAGTGCTGAAAGCAGGAGCTGAGACTGCATCTCTTACAGAGTGGCTCTGTATGGGCCATTGGTCTCCCTGTGACCTGTACGGACTGGCACTCATTCCAGAAGCAGACTGTGTGTGCACTTGTGTGCGTGCACCCTCTTAGTGCCTTGTGGCACAGCTGCTGGGCGCTGTTAGTGGCCATTTTGGTGGCTCAGTGACTCACTGACAGTATTGGCCTCTGGAGGGCCCTGTGTAGGAAGCCACTCCTTTTGACCCCTCACGAGGCTCTGGGAAGAGGAACCTTTGTCTGCTTATTTACCTCACTTGGGTGGGATCTCTGTCTTCTGGTGGGGGCAGGACGGGGCAAAGCGACAGGCTGGGTGTATCGCCAAGCTCTTCCCAAGTTCTGCCCTTGGTAGGAGAGGAGGGACGTCTTCAGGGAGCGTTCTGTGGACATTGGCATGACGCTGGGGTGGGGTACCCATCTTGTACGCATGGGGGGATAGCCGAGGAAGGAGGTGGGATAGGACCAGCATGTGGGCCAGCACCCCTTCATTCCTGGGTCAGGGGTGGAGCTGCAGGACAGCCTCTGGGAACGGGGTGGCCAGACGCCCAGCTTGGGAGGTACCCTCATGACATTCCTCGATTGATTAGTATGGAGCAAGGGGCCTGTGTGATACATGCAAATGAGAGCTAAAAACCCAAGTCTAGCACAGCGTAGCCCTTGATTTTGCAGGGCAGTGGTTATTATAACACACAGTAGAAAGCTACAAGGGTGTTTTAAGATGTAACCCAAAGATAAAACATGACATGTGGTAAAGTGTTTAATTTCCAAAGAAGATATAACTTGGTAGGAAAGTATGACTTGATTAGGCAGAACCAGAGTTGAGGTCGAGTGGTCTGGTGGCCAAGGGGACTGGATAAAGTGCGTGGCGCAGATCCTGGTTGCTCTGCCATCTGCTCACTGTTTAGCCAGCACCTTGGCTTCTTTGTGCCCACCTCATGGAATTCCTGCTAATTAAGTAAAAAACATGAAAATGCAGAGCGTGGGACCTTGTATTTTTAAGCCTCAATAAATTTTGGCCAGTAGCCCTGTTAGTTTTGCAATGCTTAATTTCTTAAATATCTGGCTATAAGTAGGTAGTTTTGATTTTGGTTTTCTTTCCACAAGCAGAAGTGAGCCTGAAGGATTGGGACTCGCTGCCTGCAGCAGAGGCAGGGTGCTGCCTGGGTTCCTGTGGAACCTGCCCGTGGGAGTTCTTGAGGACAGTGGGGGGCTGGGTTTGCAACATTGGGTTGGAAACCTTGTTTAACAAACACTAAGCTAGTTGTGTTCCCCTGAGGCTTGATGAAGCTAGGCTGAGTTGGTCCAGTAGTTCTGTGTCACCATTTCCTTTCGGGGGATTGTCTATCAGTATATACACAGACCAGGGATAGGGAAGATAAATTCTCCTGACCTCCACAGACAAGTGAGAAATACCTTCTGTTCATATTCTCTTTCATTAGGGTAACCATCTACTTTATAAGGAATAGTTTTATTGAGATGGAATTCACACACCATACAGTGCACCCATTTGAAGTGTACAGTTCGCCTGGTTTTGAGGGTGTTCACAGAGTTGAATGGTCCTGTCATCACCATAATTGGTTTTATGACATTTTCATTACCCCGAGAAAGCCCTTGAGGTGTTGTCGCTCTGCACCCGCAGCCCCCACCCAGCCCCCGGCAACCGCTGAGCTGCTTTCCGTCTTGGATTTGCCTGTTCTGGACATTTGATATAAATGGAGTCACGGAGTATTGTGCCTGTCGTGACTGATCTCTTTCCCTCGACGTGATGTTTTCAAGGTTCACCCGCATTGTAGTGTCCATCGAACTGTCCGCTGTTGGATTGGATTGTTCTGTTTTTTGGCGGCTGGTCCTTACAGGGATCCGAACCCTTGACCTTGGTGTTACAGCACTACACTAACCAGCTGAGCTGACCAGCCGGCCCATATCCATTTTTAGGTGTAAAATTTCTTCCCTTGACATTTTTTTCTTTCCTTTGCATTAGTCACTTTGAACACAGAGCGGCTTTGAACTTATCTCACCAAGTGAGCTTTAGTCAAATGGTGGAGACTTTTGGATTTTTTTTTTTTTTCCATTTTATGCTAGAGCCAGTTACCATAGTTGAGCTTCTTCCACAGTTTTTTCATTTTGATTGAAAGGAATGTGTGATTAAGCAGTCCTAAGCTTACTTGAGTACCTTTGGTGAAAAGATAAGTTATTTTTGTTTCCAAGTTTGAGGGATGGCCAGTCTAACCTACTAAAAACTCGCTTGGCCCAGCAAAGGAGTCAAAGCAACAGCCCCTGTCCCTGAGGGACGGTGGGGGGGAGGTTTCTTGATAAGGGGCAGAGGGGGCTGTTCTGGAAGGAGAGGCAGGGATGGCCTAGACCAGCTTGGCCCGTTTCCTCCCCCTCCCGGGCAGCCTGGTTTCTGGTTTGTACCACCCTGGAGGCTGTGCACTGTTTTCGCAAGATACTACAAAAGGGTCATCTTTTATAAATTTAAGTTAGATGTCCATTTACAACCTTCAATAATTTATGAATTACAAAACCACTTGTCTTTTTTTTTTTTTTTTTTTAAAAGATGACCGGTAAGGGGATCTCAACCCTTGGCTTGGTGTTGTCAGCACCACGCTCAGCCAGTGAGCTAACCGGCCATCCCTATATAGGATCCGAACCCGTGGCCTTGGTGTTATCAGCACCGCACTCTACCGAGTGAGCCACGGGCCGGCCCGAAAACCACTTGTCTTAAAAGCAGGTAAATGTGAAGCTCTAAATGTCACTGATGTGGTTTTTATTACGTGACCCGGTTATTCCCTAAACATTCGCTTGAAATGCGGGGATAGCTCGCACTTTCCTGGTTCTTGGCTTGCGTGAGCCCGCGTGCGGCCTGCTTGTCTGATTTCTCTGGTGGGCCTGTACTGTCAGGGTTGACATGTGTTTTGATTGTTCAGTGACTGATGTTCATCTTCTCAACTCACCATCTTTCAGGACTGCTTCACTGTATATGTTTTCTCGTTTGGAAGAAAAAATAAAAGTGGTTTCTAATTGTAAATCCTCACAGCCTCCTGGCCCCTTCCTGGGGACACAGCGGCTAGAGGGGGTGGGGTCCGTCCTCTCTCAGGCCCTCTGCAC